GCAAATCCTTTGCGGTTATGACTCGATTGCTTCGAAGTTGGTATTTAACATTACACTTTCACTTTTCGAGATACATTATGCCGAAGATCTTATTATCAAATATTGACAAGCGCAGTCTAAATGCTCAATGATTGGCGATCTCAGAAAGAATGAGAAGCATAGTAGCTGCTAAAAAAAAAGCGACAGAAGTGAAATCGCGCTCTACATCGTCAGCCTTTTCAATATGACTGCATGATTGACCACAGCCAGCTTACCGTGTGTTACGATTAGCCGCATGGATGTACATAATTTGCCAATATTACACGGATACACCAGCAGCCGGATTCCAACATTTGCTATCGCTAATTATTGTCGCCAAAAATCTCCAAAGGAATAGCAGGCGCGCCTAACATGCTACATCCAGTTAAATGCTCCTCATACTGTCAGATTTGGCTGATTACACATTGCGTATGTTGCTTTTCATGGTGTATAAAGTATACTTTTAGGCCCAACTGCTTTTTATTTCGAGATTTTTACGAAAGAAAATTTCGTGATACGTCAGTCGTATAAGCTGAATGCGATGAAGAGTACGTTCACGTATGTCATAATTCAAAAATGTGTTTTTAAGTGACGAGTAATACGACATCGTATGTGACGATTCGAGCCCAGGATCGTGTTGTGCAGGTCAAATTTACTCAACTGCCTTTGCTTTTGCTCTTTGCTTTGCCTAAAATTTAGTCTAGTTTCCGACTTTCGCAATGACGCTGATTGAGTCAAAATATTCAACCCGACAACTTAAAAAAAAATCGTATGAGTATTTCAGAATGCCCCAATGTGAAAGCAAACTTGTCGCATTGCAGAATGCGAAGAGTAACTCCCCTGCCACCTAAACTTTAGTTGAAAGTTAAACAGTAAGTTTACGATTTTCTTTTGGTTAAAAATACACATGCATATGTATGTGAAAATTACGTGATTGACGGTAAAATTTAAATCACGACCGTTCACGCCAGAAAAAATTTCAGTTACGTACGAGGTTACGTGATTTTTCCTTTAAACCGCTCACCTTCACGCGTGAAATACCGTGACACGGCGTGCAATAAAAGAAAGAGTAAGAATGTAGTATAAGGGCAGCCGTACTGAACAATTGCATCATTTGATGCGAATGCGAATGCGAATGTTGAAAATGATCCGGTTTAGCATATCAAAATATTCGTAACATCCCTAGTATCTACATACACACATACATGCATACATACATATGTGTTCTTAAGACACCCCGAACCTTTTTGAATAATTATTGTGCTAGCAATAAATTTGAATTAATTATTATTTACCATTATTATTAGAAGAAGTAACGCCGTTGCTAGGCGGAGATGTCGCTATAATAGCGGCGGCTGCCGACGACGTTCCCTTCCCAGTAGTTACACCGCCACTTGTCGCTGTTACTCGGCTCGTAGCGAGTCCAGTGCTACTAGCGAATTTTAAGTTATTTGGAATACTGACAGTCACATTTCGTCCGCTAATTATGCCACTTAATGTGCGTGGCGGTGACGATGATATCAACGATGAGGACGACGAAACGCAACTCGAAGATGACGGTGATGGAGATGGCGTTGATGGTGTTGGAGAGTCGCGTGTCAGAGACATGGCCGAAATGTTCTTTGCCGTTAAAGACAGCGCTGCATTGCTCACATTGACAATTGCTCCATTTGCCAAAGCAACAGTTGTATTGGCGGATAGCACACCCGAAGGACTAGTATTGCCAGGCACCGAAGTTGGTGATTTAATTTGGTGTTGCTGATTATGGTCAAATACGCCAGGGGCCTTAGATGTAACGCTGGCATTGGAGGGGCTATTATTTCCGTTTGCACTGCTTGCAATGTTGCAATTTATATATGTTTTAGATATCACAGGTGATAGAGCAGTGGGCAATGACATCTATATTTATTTGTAACAAAAGCACGAAAGGTTATATAAAGTTTTTTAGTATTTGTTAAATACTTACACTAGCACCAACTGGTGAAGACATAGTAGTGCTGCCATTGCTACCTCCGCTTGACAACGAGCTCGATGAACTATACAGTATACTACCACGTCCAGAAGAAAGAGACGCAGCTTCATTTAAATGTTCTACAGTTATTAAAATAAAAGAAGGCCAAAAAAAAAAACATTAATTTAATCCATGAATTTAGAGGTATTTGGATTATAAACAGAAGTAACTTTTTGGGAGCTCGACATATACATACAGTGCCGAACAGAAGTATTGGCACAGTGAATTTTTCGCAATATATGCAAAGTTCTTTATTCTAATTTATTTCCGATAATTTTTTATAAAAATATTGTTCATTCTACACCAGAAAACATAATAATAAAATCTCTAAACTTTGTGCAAAACTCAGAAAAATGTATTAAATTTGCACACTAATTTGCAACTTTTTACTCAGAATTTTTAGAAAAATTCTAAGTATGCAGTTTTATAGCCCATTCAAATTTAGTATAACAAAGTGCAAGTTTGAAGTCGCTAGAAAATCGCATTGATTTTTGGTAGTTTTTTTTCGCGCAAGTTCTTCCATACAAAGTAATTCGACAATTATTTTTTGTATGGAGAAAATGAGCAACACCTTCCACTAAAAAAATTGCCAAAAATCAACGCGATTTTCTAGCAACTTTAAACTTGCACTTTGTTATACTAAATTTGAATGGGCTATAAAGAATACTTAGAATTTTTCTAAAAAATCTGAATAAAAAGTTGCAAATTAGTGTGCCAATTTAATAAATTTGCACAAAGTTTTGCACAAAGTTTAGGGATTTTATTATTATGTTTTCTGGTGTAGAATGAACAATATTTTTATAAAAAATTATCGGAAATAAGTTAGAATAAAGAACTTTTCATATATTCCGAAAAATTCACTGTGCCAATACTTCTGTTCGGCACTGTATGTATGAAGTACTTGTGTGTATGTTTCTTATGTAGTTGGTAACTAAAGTGTGCTTTAAAACAGGCCTTCCCAAAATGGGTACCGCGGAACCCTGGGGTGCCGCTATAGGCTAAAGTATACTATAGTTTTTTAAACTTTCATTAAAATTTTGCAATTAAGTGGTATAGTTAATTTTTAGTATATGGCAACACTTTTACTATCTTGTGTCTACTGTTCGACAAGCTGCTTGTCAAACATAATCCAAACCGACTTTCTCCATTTCGCCATACACCATGAAAGCATGAATCGTTCAAGCAAAGAATTTTAGCTTTCTTCCAACCATCGGCGTAGCCAGAATGAAATTTAGGGGGGGGGGCTCGACCCTATTAAGCAGGCATTTCATGGTACTTTTTATATATACATATATATAAGGAAAATTTAAAAGTTAGGGGGGGGGGGGGGCGGAGCCCCCCCCTGCCCATACCTGGCAACGCCCATGCTTCCAACATGGCGCCCAGAAAATCAAAAAAATTAGATTTTTGTTCAAATTTCCCTCAAGCGGCTTGCCAAACCCCATACACAACATAAATGGCTTGAGGCAAAGGATTATTCGCATGGTTTGTCAAGACGCTTTTGTCGTGTATTTCGCTCTTAAGCGTAGCTCACCAGTACGTTTTGTCAACGAAAATTTTAATCAGAAAATTTTCAGAAAAACAGCCGAAAACGTATCCCTTGCACAACCATTTTCGGTACTTTTCTAGACCTAGGTTTCTGCCGCAAACTTTAGTGGGAAACGAATCGTCAAGGTGTCCGAAAATGAAATCGTTAAACGGACAAAAATCCCCATTTCATTCAC